GAGAATGGAATTGGGATCTTCATTGATTATAAATTTGTTTCGTTTTTGGAGGAAACTTACTGCTTTACCGAGAAAAGACTATAAACAATTGATTTATAGTATATAAATCAATAAAAAAATAATTCTGCGGCTTAATAATAATTCTTTTGAAATGTCCTTTTCTAGCTATTTGTAGTCTTCAAGTGAGATTTTTTTTCTTTTGGAAAACCTTTAAAATGCAGCTTTTTATTAACAAATCGAACGTTTTCGACCATTTGAATGATCGAAAACGTTCCATTAGTTAATCAAAATCTGCATTTTAAAAGTTTTTTTATCGATGTTTAATTAAATCTCGTTTGTGAAAAACACGTTATATCAAATAATAAAGCTATATTGATATGATATATAGATAAATAAGTTTTACCAATTTACCAATCTCGATTATGTTGCTTTACAAAATACAATTAATAATAAATTTGACAAATATATATTATATTTATAAATTTAGTAATTTATTTGACATCGATGATATTGTTTTTAGTCATTTATTTGCATTTTTCTATTATATATGCTATTTCTTCAAAATATATTATATAAACATAATTAGCCTTATTATAGCCCGATATTTAGGCGATCGTTTGGTGATTTATTATATAAACAATCAATATATATATATATATAATTTACAATAGCAATTATAATTATTTTGCAACCATGCAACTATTTATATGTATTATCAAAACAATTTTGTTTGGCGAACAAGTAACAAATGTTCTGGAGATGAATTTATACATACGCTTGCAAACTTAAGGACGGACGACATTTGTACATAAATTGTAGAATTGTGAATGAAGACAAATATGGGAAGAACTGTATCGCTGTTCGACGTCTAACGCAGGTAAAACACAAGTTGTACGTTTTCACAAATCAATGCAGTAAATGTAAGTCTTTAGTAAAAAAAGATATATAAAGGTAGATAGATTAAGAATGGGTGGAAAGTGTTTACCAGTAACCAGGTAGCTAGTCCTGTCAGTATAGAATATGTCCACCTCGAACCGTAACGCAGCAGTCACAACGTTATGGCAGATTCGTCATCGACTGGTTCGGTGACAATTTCTATTACTACTAGCAATTGTCTCGTCCACAAGTTTTGGACACGTGTATTAGCATACACAACTATACAAGAGAAACTTTAAAGAAAGATAATTATTTCCAAAATTTCTAATATGCCACAATAAGCATTATACACAAGTCCTTACTTAACGTCATTGAGGAAAGATACAAGTAGGCTACATTTGTAGTCATTTGCAATTATGATTGTTAGATGTCTTTATAAACACTAAAGTTGATTACACGAGATGGGAAATAAATTCTGGAAGTTCCAAGCACGATTCAAATTAGAATAATATTAACCGAATTATAAAGACTTATTGATATATTAAATTGTTTATATGATTCAAGCCTATGGAAAAATTCATTTCGTTACACTTCGTTTCGCTTAACGTCGCAGCTTCCAAGAACCTATCGACATTAGTGACGAATACTGTATTGTAATATTTAAAATTTTAAAATAGAATAACAACAATTTGCGAAACAGTTTGTGACAGTTTTTAGAGTCTGTTTTAAAAATAATTTTGAAAATTGTTAATTATTTTTTAGGGAGTATTTCGCAGGACCTAACACAGTAATTAATTTTGACTTAACTGATATAATTTACACTTTGTGTGAGACACGAGTTCAAAAACATAATCAAATAACTAGGGTATGATCTTACCATCTAAATTATGAAAAAGCTTTTGACTCATCTGATTTTCACATCACAGTATANCTTCGACTCTAATATCGCGAAAGATATAGACGAGGCACATTTTTAATGTCATAAAAGCAAATCTCATTCCAATACAGTTTCTTGGACCTTCCCCAAAAGGAAGATAAGCATATTGTGGTATAGAATTTTTGTTCTATGGCATAAATCTAAAAAGAAGATTTCAATTACAATCAAATATTATAACAAATTGACAAATGAAACTACTAACAAGTAATCCATTATTTTATGTGTCCTGAAACTTGCATTTACACCATATTATGGACGTTCACAATATAGAACAATATAGAAAACTGAAATAACTATATCAATATAGAAAGTATAGCAAATAAAACTTTTCTTTTGTGCAGTTTTCTATATTGATCTGTTCCTTTTTTCTTTGATTTCTATGAAAGAATACTGCAAATTAACTATGAACACTAGGTTTGCGGAAATATGAAATCTGTGTTTACGATAATTGCAAATATATAAAATAATAAATTTGATATTAATGTAATAAGTTGTTGGTAAATCATTTAATATGGTTAAATTTATATTGTAGCAATTCATATTAAAAGAGTAATAAGATAAAATCCAGTAGGAAATTATTTTCTAGAATATAAAATATTTTCTTGTTAGTACTTTCCCGGTTGTTATATATAACAGAGGGAAAGTATGACGATCGGTCAAAACAAACACTCATAAGATTTTTACATTTTTAGATTCAGAGGATCTTGAAACATCGAGAAATCAAAACGGGATTCTCTTCTTTATGTATGGATGTTAGTGTGTGAGGGGAATTTTTTGTTCACCCCCTTTAAACTTCTTTTAAACTCCTGTGCTTTTTACCGAAAATTTCTGAAATTTTGTAGGGAGGTTTGTGTGTCAAGGGGATTGATGCTATTAAAATTTTATGGTTAAAGGTCGAAAGATAGGGAGATAAAGGGAGGCCGTGTGTTATATCTCGAGTGGATTCGGACTTAATGAAGATTTTATTGTTATTCGCATTTCCAATTTTATATGAAACTCGTTTCCACTCTTGAAATTAAGCTGTTTTTCATTTTAAATACTTGATGATATAAAAATATTTTAATAAAATATCGTAACAGATGCTGTCATCACAATTTTAATTTTTTTGCCGGAAAAGTTACAAAACTCATAGCTGGATTTTTTATTAAAGGAACCGGCCATTTAAAAATTAAATTTTCTGTCAATTCTTAAATATTTATATTTCTTTGTTGTATCATAAGTTTATTTATTTTGAATGACCAAAAATTCTATAAATTTTAATTTGATCATTTAAAGAAGGTATCATGAATTCGTAATAATTGGAAAAAAATTGTTTTGTAATTTATAGATATAAATCATCAATGAATTAACATATAGAATAATTTTATAAAAAAAGTGATTATTATGTAACAATTTTTATAAATTTAATTATTTATAAATAAAAATAAGGTAATTAATTAAAGATAACCTGTCAGGATCAAACTTCTCCGGATTTGGGAAAAATTCTTTATCACGATGCATCGCATAAACTGGAATTATTACATTCATTCCTTTGGGGATTTTGATCCCTAGCTCTGGTAACTCATATTCTTCAGTACATTCTCTCACTAATCTGTAAACATTAAAAGCAAAATTAATTATATATAATAAATTATTCAGTTCTAAAGGAATAAACCAAAGTTATGACTACTTAATTTCATTGTACTTTATGAAATAACCATTGAAATGATGAAAACCGAGCTATAAATTCTTCCAGTAAAATAGGTGATATCGTTTAATTTATGAATTATGTTATAGACTAAGTATTCAGATAATAACTATTAAAAATAAAAATGAAAAAAGTTATTTTTAATAGAATAGTGCAGGAATTCCCAACGTTTTCATGTATCGTTCCATTAAAAAAATTTTTTTCCATTTATCCACTTCAATATTATATATTAGATATGCAACATTTCTTCTGTATAATTTTTAAAAACAGTCTTTCTAAATTTATTGTAGAAAGAACAAATATATAACATTTTAAAATATTTTAAAATAAACTTTTTATATTAATAATAATTTTTATTGACCATCTCTCAAACTTTTATTGATATCTAAAGGATAAACATCAACCTCGTTTGGGCAGCTCTGATGTGGAATGATCAAAAACTTACTGTTTTTGACTTTTGTACACAAAAACATTGTAGTCTATCCAATCAGTACAACTACATACAGTGGTACCTCAGGATACGAAATTAATCCGTTCCGAAACAGATCGTATCATGAAAATGTCGTAAGGTGAATCATTTTTCCCCATACGATTACACGTAAAACCAAATAATTCGTTCCAACACGAAAAACACACTCAAATTAAAGCTAAGTAGTACATTAAAAAAATAATAAGTATAGTAAGGAAAACACTGAAGAATGCGTTTTGTAGTTCTAAATATATAAATAACCATAATAGAATAATAATTGATTAAAAAAATGCAGTTTCATTTGCACTTTACTTCCGAGGATAGACGACGGTGAAGGTGTAAGCTGGTGGCGAAAAAGAGGGAGAAGGGAAATGATACTAAAACTTAACTTACATAGCATAATGTAACAATAAGTTATAAATAACTTAACACTAATTTTTTAATCTTTTCTGTTTCATATATATATTTTTAAAATTTTTTATTCACTGCTTTTTTGCTTTCTTTCCTTCACTTTCACCAGCTCTTTCACTGGATAGAGGTCGCTTGGTAAAATATATATCCAAAGAGGTTTGGCTTTGCCTATTTTTTAAACTGTTTCTAAAATGACTTAGGCAAATGTCATTACTCCGAGCAGCAATACGGCCAGTGTAAACCTTTTTGGGATGTTTCTTTTCAATAAAATCAGTCACTTTCCGATAATACCTCGAGATTTCCTTTGTCGAGCGAGATCCTTCCATGACGAAGCAAACGCGCGGTCCGAGACCAATGAACAGATGTGAATAAAAAATGGCGATGCAAACTAATGTAACGTCGTGTGGTGAGTTTTTGTTCGTATCGTGGAGCAAAAATATGTTCGAATTTCGTGTCGTATCCTGAAAATTTCGTATGCTGGGGCGTTCGTATCCTGAGGTACCACTAACGTTATATTTGTAATGTAGTTGCATAATATTTGTAGAATATATAAAAAGTGGTTATTCTTTANTAATTCCATTAATGACAAATTTCGTAAACGTTAAAAAATAAATTATTACTTTTGTTTCTTCTGTTGCTTCGACTCTAATATCGCGAAAGATATAGACGAGGCACATTTTTAATGTCATAAAAGCAAATCTCATTCCAATACAGTTTCTTGGACCTTCCCCAAAAGGAAGATAAGCATATTGTGGTATAGAATTTTTGTTCTCTGGCATAAATCTAAAAAGAAGATTTCAATTACAATCAAATATTATAACAAATTGACAAATGAAACTACTAACAAGTAATCCATTATTTTATGTGTCCTGAAACTTGCATTTACACCATATTATGGACGTTCACAATATAGAACAATATAGAAAACTGAAATAACTATATCAATATAGAAAGTATAGCAAATAAAACTTTTCTTTTGTGCAGTTTTCTATATTGATCTGTTCCTTTTTTCTTTGATTTCTATGAAAGAATACTGCAAATTAACTATGAACACTAGGTTTGCGGAAATATGAAATCTGTGTTTACAATAATTGCAAATATATAAAATAATAAATTTGATATTAATGTAATAAGTTGTTGGTAAATCATTTAATATGGTTAAATTTATATTGTAGCAATTCATATTAAAAGAGTAATAAGATAAAATCCAGTAGGAAATTATTTTCTAGAATATAAAATATTTTCTTGTTAGTACTTTCCCGGTTGTTATATATAACAGAGGGAAAGTATGACGATCGGTCAAAACAAACACTCATAAGATTTTTACATTTTTAGATTCAGAGGATCTTGAAACATCGAGAAATCAAAACGGGATTCTCTTCTTTATGTATGGATGTTAGTGTGTGAGGGGAATTTTTTGTTCACCCCCTTTAAACTTCTTTTAAACTCCTGTGCTTTTTACCGAAAATTTCTGAAATTTTGTAGGGAGGTTTGTGTGTCAAGGGGATTGATGCTATTAAAATTTTATGGTTAAAGGTCGAAAGATAGGGAGATAAAGGGAGGCCGTGTGTTATATCTCGAGTGGATTCGGACTTAATGAAGATTTTATTGTTATTCGCATTTCCAATTTTATATGAAACTCGTTTCCACTCTTGAAATTAAGCTGTTTTTCATTTTAAATACTTGATGATATAAAAATATTTTAATAAAATATCGTAACAGATGCTGTCATCACAATTTTAATTTTTTTGCCGGAAAAGTTACAAAACTCATAGCTGGATTTTTTATTAAAGGAACCGGCCATTTAAAAATTAAATTTTCTGTCAATTCTTAAATATTTATATTTCTTTGTTGTATCATAAGTTTATTTATTTTGAATGACCAAAAATTCTATAAATTTTAATTTGATCATTTAAAGAAGGTATCATGAATTCGTAATAATTGGAAAAAAATTGTTTTGTAATTTATAGATATAAATCATCAATGAATTAACATATAGAATAATTTTATAAAAAAAGTGATTATTATGTAACAATTTTTATAAATTTAATTATTTATAAATAAAAATAAGGTAATTAATTAAAGATAACCTGTCAGGATCAAACTTCTCCGGATTTGGGAAAAATTCTTTATCACGATGCATCGCATAAACTGGAATTATTACATTCATTCCTTTGGGGATTTTGATCCCTAGCTCTGGTAACTCATATTCTTCAGTACATTCTCTCACTAATCTGTAAACATTAAAAGCAAAATTAATTATATATAATAAATTATTCAGTTCTAAAGGAATAAACCAAAGTTATGACTACTTAATTTCATTGTACTTTATGAAATAACCATTGAAATGATGAAAACCGAGCTATAAATTCTTCCAGTAAAATAGGTGATATCGTTTAATTTATGAATTATGTTATAGACTAAGTATTCAGATAATAACTATTAAAAATAAAAATGAAAAAAGTTATTTTTAATAGAATAGTGCAGGAATTCCCAACGTTTTCATGTATCGTTCCATTAAAAAAATTTTTTTCCATTTATCCACTTCAATATTATATATTAGATATGCAACATTTCTTCTGTATAATTTTTAAAAACAGGGTCTTTCTAAATTTATTGTAGAAAGAACAAATATATAACATTTTAAAATATTTTAAAATAAACTTTTTATATTCATAATAATTTTTATTGACCATCTCTCAAACTTTTATTGATATCTAAAGGATAAACATCAACCTCGTTTGGGCAGCTCTGATGTGGAATGATCAAAAACTTACTGTTTTTGACTTTTGTACACAAAAACATTGTAGTCTATCCAATCAGTACAACTACATACAGTGGTACCTCAGGATACGAAATTAATCCGTTCCGAAACAGATCGTATCATGAAAATGTCGTAAGGTGAATCATTTTTCCCCATACGATTACACGTAAAACCAAATAATTCGTTCCAACACGAAAAACACACTCAAATTAAAGCTAAGTAGTACATTAAAAAAATAATAAGTATAGTAAGGAAAACACTGAAGAATGCGTTTTGTAGTTCTAAATATATAAATAACCATAATAGAATAATAATTGATTAAAAAAATGCAGTTTCATTCGCACTTTACTTCCGAGGATAGACGACGGTGAAGGTGTAAGCTGGTGGCGAAAAAGAGGGAGAAGGGAAATGATACTAAAACTTAACTTACATAGCATAATGTAACAATAAGTTATAAATAACTTAACACTAATTTTTTAATCTTTTCTGTTTCATATATATATTTTTAAAATTTTTTATTCACTGCTTTTTTGCTTTCTTTCCTTCACTTTCACCAGCTCTTTCACTGGATAGAGGTCGCTTGGTAAAATATATATCCAAAGAGGTTTGGCTTTGCCTATTTTTTAAACTGTTTCTAAAATGACTTAGGCAAATGTCATTACTCCGAGCAGCAATACGGCCAGTGTAAACCTTTTTGGGATGTTTCTTTTCAATAAAATCAGTCACTTTCCGATAATACCTCGAGATTTCCTTTGTCGAGCGAGATCCTTCCATGACGAAGCAAACGCGCGGTCCGAGACCAATGAACAGATGTGAATAAAAAATGGCGATGCAAACTAATGTAACGTCGTGTGGTGAGTTTTTGTTCGTATCGTGGAGCAAAAATATGTTCGAATTTCGTGTCGTATCCTGAAAATTTCGTATGCTGGGGCGTTCGTATCCTGAGGTACCACTAACGTTATATTTGTAATGTAGTTGCATAATATTTGTAGAATATATAAAAAGTGGTTATTCTTTATATATTCTAAAATTTGTTGTTATTTCATTAAATTATTATATTTATTATAAAATAGAAAAATGCAAAATTATAATTACATTAATAATTATTCATGGTATAATTTATATACAGTAGATCCCCCTATAAAACCGTTTCCTATAGTTATGATTCCTATAAAAATTGTGGCAGTATCCGTAAACAACGGTAAAAATAACTCCTATAATCCGTAAAACGTCATCGGGCAGCCGAACTACTTTCCCGCCATCCATAGCGCCACGCTTCGGACGTTTAGGCGGATAAATTGAGTTTAGTATCGTCTGTTCATATAATTATATATAAATTAGGTACTGTACATATAATTATATATTAATTATATATAAATTAGGTACTGTACATATAATTATATATTAACTTAATTTATTGTAACTTTATTATAATTATATATATACTTTCCGCCGTCCAGCGCCACGCTACGGAGAGTTTAGGCGAGTAAGTTGAGTTTACTATCGTCTGTACAGTATGTAAATTAGGTACCGTAAGTCTAATACAGTACTGTAATTTTATACATTTCTTGTGAAAGAAACATTTCTTATTTAACGGCCATAAAAATTATTTATATTAAGGATGTCTCCAAAGGTCAACGAAGTTTTCGCAGAAAAATAATATCAGAAATCGCGGCCGCGGTTTGATGCGCTGTTCCGCGACGAAACCAAGCTTTAGCAACGGGCGTAGTCGAACGGTACACACTCGGTAAGCAATCCTACAATTTTTTGTTTATAACGTAGTTTATACGGATTATTTTCAAAAAAATATACGTATTTTGAAAATGTTGAGTCGAATTAGTCTAGAATCGATTAATTTTATGAAAGAAAACCTTTCAAACAGCCGTAGTCCGTAAACTATGATTCCTACAAAATTGATTCATAAAGAACGGAACGTATCTACCGTCTTATAGGGGGATCTACTGTATATATTTTCAATCTTTATTCCCCACTGGCACTAAGGCGGCCACTTTCTGATGCACATCGTGAATTCGGCCAGCCTCACAACTGGGGCCCAGATTACTGAGGAACTCCCTGACATATTCAATGAATAGTCAATCACTAGAATTGACTATTGTTTTATTAAAATATGTGATTTAATCTTTTATATAAAATAAACCACTAAAATTCTTTTATTCTTTATAACCACTTTTCTTTAAATTAGGAATTAAAATTACATACATTTTACAGAATTTTTTCATATGTGTTGGATGATTACAATCTAATTCTATGTCATGCCCAAGAACAATCAAATTTCTATTTAAACATAAATGGAAATAATTTAAAATGATAAAAAGAAACGTAATAATGTTAGCACACCCTCTAAGAGCTATAGATTAAAGTATAATTGCATTTAAGCAAATATTATATTTGAAAATATAAAAATGTAGCACTATGATTTGTATATAAACATAAAAGACCTTACTGTATTGCAACTGAATTTAGCCTGAGAGTCTCATTTATAACAGCATCTAAGTAGATAGTCTTAGATAGTACATCAAAATTTATATCTTCCTGAATAATGAAAAATATAACATCATTTTGTTTGTAAATCAATAAAGCATCAAATAAATTTTAATAAATAAAATTGCAATATCTATTAATATAAATTATATCTTAAATATAAAACAAATTTGAACTTGAACACACGTTGTTACTCCAAACGTCGTCTACTTCCTGAATGAATTTATCTTGACATTCTGGATTTAAAGCTAAGTGATATAACACAAACGATAACGTATTGGTTGTTGTGTCACTTCCACCAAAAAGTATCATTGCACACTGAGCCATCATTTCTTCCGAGCTCATTGCTGAAATTATACAATTTTATATTAAACTACAACAAAATTTAAGACAATATTTATTCTCTATGTATTTGTAATAATTAAATTTTGTTAAATAGATATTTCGACTAAAATATGCAGTTTCATTCTGATTAAAACTAGGTAAGTTGAAAATGCTTTCGAGTAAAATACTTTCTAATACTAGGACTATTAATTGTGAAGTAAAGTAATATATAGACCTAATTCATGATAGTCGGTTGTTATACGGCTCACTGTAACCTGTTTAGTTATACACGAGATCTCAGAAATAGAAAAAGGGTTATATTTTTAATACTAAGAAAATCCTTTTATACTCTGTTTCTATGAACTGTTTCTTGAAAATATAACTCTGTTTCTATGCAAAATTCTTGAAAACTAAGACAAGTAGAACGAAACTGTTCCTTGCGTTAGAATCCTATTTAATTCTTCTAAAAACGTACAATTCAGAATTTTAAAAATCGAATTCGTTAATTTTATGCGATTTTTAAAATTCATAGAAAATTACCAAATTTGATTTTCAAAATTCCAAATAGTACGTCAATAGAAGAATTAAATAGGACTCTACTGCAAGAAACAGTTTGGTTCTATTTGCCTTAGTTTTCAAGAATTTTGCATAGAAACAGAGTTATATTTTTAACATCTTCTGCTGGAAATCTCGTGCATAACTAAACAGGTTACAATCAGCCTACAAGCAACTATTAGTTCTTACGAAACTTATCGAGATTATTAGCTTGTAATGAATGTATCTAAGAGTGTCAGAAATCGAAAAACGACTTAATTAAAATTTCGACTTTATTTAATAGGAGAATATTAACATACTTTTATGTTTTGGCAACATTTTAAAATTCGATTGTTCTTTATCGTAATCATCTTCATTTGCATCTTCCGGTGAGATTTCCAAGCTGCCTTTTTGAGCATCTAATAACAACTGAAGAAAGTCATTGGATTTCTGCAAATATAATTTATCAATATATTATGAAGTTTAAAAATAACATAAAATATTAACGTTATAAAACTAGCAAACAGTGAAAATATCTAAACTGTTATGAATTTCTTAGCTGAAAGAAAATATTTTAATACTAAAATTTATTTTGTTCAGATAGAAGTAATCAGGTCAAGCTCCAGATTTATTAAATTTGGAGCTTGACCTGATTACATTCAATTCGATAATATAGCATAATATGTGTCTAACCGTGTGAAAAATCTAAGTGTAAAAATTGACATGGCAGAATAACTTAAAATTCGAATTCTCATAACTTCAACTTATTCCCATCGTGTTTGTATATTAGTTTGACAGTGAACATATATCCGACGTCATTCGGAATAATTGGAGAAGAAATACAAAATACACGTAATTTTTATTTGATGTAAACTGTATAAAAGCGTATTAATATTCAATTAATAAAACAATAAATAAAGCCATTATAATGTAGAAGCTCCGAAGAATTATTTAATCATGTGTCAAAAACATAATCAGAAAGGCTGCATAACTCAGAACATCATTTATTGGTAAAATCACTACTTCAAATTAAAATAAGTTCAAATTATCATACGAAAACGAATGTGTCCAATTTGTAAATCGAGGAATCATGTTCTCTAGATTTTAGCACGATATAATGAAGCTAAGATCTCGTTCCCCATTGAAAATATTTATTTTTTAATTTATATCTTACGATTGCTTTAACTGAAGATGATGTGATTCATTATGTAGTTTCGGGCAGGCGAGAATGCATTAGTAAGCCCGTCTTTCACTCGTCCGTCCATCAATAGAATAGATTTTCTACAGAATTACTATGTGAAAGTCATTAACTCCTTACACAAACAACGTTAAAATGTCCATTCTACCTAATAGTAATTCGATACAAATTTTATAAATTGATATCTAATTATTTTATGTGATTATAATGCCAAGATCATATTTTCAATATCGAGATTACAATAAAATAAATCAAGTCGTAAAGTCTACTAATATCCCAAAAGAGACAGAAATTTATCATATACAATAATGGAGTAATTTAATTTTGAAGAAGAAAAATAGTGTCGAAAATTTTGATTATACAATACTTTCCTGAAAGAAAATTCTGAATGAATTATATATTTCGATTTTAATAGTTATCCTAATATATATCGAAATAAAGAATACAAATGTGGAATATTTCAAAATTTTAAACTGTTTGGCTTGTTACGATAATAACTCACTTGAAATGTCTATTCTGTTTTGGTTATTTTATTGGTTATAAGTGAAACTGCAACGACAAGTCTGACGCGACATTAATTAAATAAAGATGAAGAATCGAGTTTTTGTAATAAAATAAATAGATTTATTTTTTCTAATTTTGTAACTGAATACGTTTATTCATAATCGAAAACAAACGTCGACATTTCCGTATTTTTCTGATACATAAATATAGACTACCTCTAAGACACTAGCCAAAGGTTCTGAGTTATGATTAATGAAATTAATTGACACGCAAATTACAAATCATTAGTTTTTAAAAAGAAGAAAGATTTATGCAATTTTTCTCGTGTATCTTGATCTATTTTATTGACACTATTAGAGTGCATAGCATACAAACTTTAAAGAAAGAATTAAAGAGTAAAATTACTATTAAATAATGAATTAAATGCCAATTCACGTGTATGATAATATTGTATGCATTAAGAAATTTGCTTATTATTTTTGTTGACAAAAGAAATCACTTATACACAGATTTTAAATATATTAGCCTAAGATTTTAATATTGTAATTTATTAAATAGTTTTGCTGTTTTGTGTACTCTTTATTCAAAACAAGTAATAAAAGTAAAGACAACTAACTAAATTAATTATAAACTAATTAAAAAATTTTAAGAAATTATAAATTTTAAAAATTATAATTTACCGTTTTTTCTTTTTCTCTTCTATCAATGACGTGTAATGTAAAATTTTTGAAAAAATTAAATGTTTCAGCAAAAACATCCACTTTTATAAGAATAGATAACTTCGGAAACAAGACTAAATAAAATAAATTAATTTAGTTATTAAAAATGATTTATTTATTTAACATGTAATACAAAACACTATATTCATTAAATTGGAAATGAAAAAATAAATTTAAAGTATTCAATGAGGAAATTTTATGTATATTTTAAAAGTATAGAACGAAACTACAATTTTACAGCTCGATTTAGAAATAGATTTCACATTACAATGATCATCAACAGTTTGTTTATATATTGTTTCTAATACAATGATATCAATTATTAATTCGGCTTATAAATTACTTTTCTCTTGTAATAGGTTAATTTTTTGGAATGTCTTACATTTTGTTTTATAGCTTTATCATATTTTGAAATAACTACATTTACAGAAAGGTGAAATCATTTAAAAACGACCTTTATTTTTACTATTTATCATTAATACTACAAGTATGACATGGATTGAAATATATTGTAAAGAAAAACTAGGAGAATAAGATATATCGAATAATTAATGCCAATTAAATGGCTGTTGCCTGTATAATTTTTATACATTGGATACATAGGGAAAAAGTTCAATTAATAAATTATTATTATTGAAAATAAGTTTAATAAAGATTAAATCATTTCAAAATTTAATTATAACAAAATGGGAAATTAAATGCTTTTTTACATCGAAATAATTTTGTAAATGTTATACATACAGTAGATAAACATGTTACATAGATAAAATACACGTATGTATATTAACATACAGTACATGCATTATAAGCTATTATAATAATTTAATGTAAATCTCTATATTAATATTAAATAAAATTTTTATAAACTCTTAAACATATTTTAAAACTTAATTTTTTATTTAAAATAAATTACGCTTGTGATGAACGTTAAGTACGCGTAATAAATTTCTATTATAATTATTCTAATATTAAGTTAAGTTAAGAAGTGAAAATCTTATGTACGAACAAATCTGCCAATATTTATTTTGAATTACAAAACGGAACTGAAATATTTCTTTTGAAATGTTTTGTTTTTATAAGCTATAATAAAGATATTCGTTCGAAACTTTCTGTTTTTATATTAATTAAAAATAGAATCGATTTATATATTTTCTAAATTCAGGTAACTTTTTTCGTGAATGAGCGTTGCTTAGTATTACTTATCATTTGAAAAGTATTTGATTGTTATAAGTCTTACTTGACACCGGAATATCAGTCGAATGTCTTGATTACGAAATATATCTTATTAAGAAATTAGAGCTGTATAAAATTCAGAAGAATTAAAAAACAATTACATTATATACTAATGTTTCTTAAAATGTTTAATTAATACTTTTATTTTACACTTCTTTACAGCATTTAGCGAAATATTCCACAAAAGAAACCACATTTCAAAAATAACATCTTTGCAATTATTCCCACAAAGATTTCACAATTGGCGATTAAAAGTTAATGAATTCGTGAACGACGTGCAACAATGAAAAGTTATTGTGATTTTGTCAAAACTTTTCACGAAACACGTGACATTATGCAGAATAGAGGCGACGGATTTTATAAATTAAAGGAAATTTTTCAATAAATCTAAGACAAACTATTAATGCGGTTTTAATAATAATATTTTTAACTTTAATTTCATTTCCTGTGATAGGGTAAGTTTCCTTTGATATATATTGAAATATTATGATGTCTAAAAATATACAAATTCTTAATTAAAATAATATTGAGTAATAGACGATGTTGTATATACAATGTAAAGAATACACAACAAATTAGTTGACAAAACTGCTTATTTTTCTGAAGTAAATGAATAATTTTATCTCATTCCTAACAAGTTTTTACAGAGACAAGTAATTATATGTTTTTTGTAGTATTTCTTTCATTATCGTAAAATCAATGAAAATCAATTTATGTGTCTGTATTATGAATTATAGAATCAATGGTAATCAGAAGTTTCTCTTGTTTAGGTTTAGGCTTCATTTCATACCATCTGTTTTTAAACACTGAAAATATTTTTCGATGAATTTAGCTGTAGAGAATTTGGCGGAAAAATTTTTAAGCGATGTCTTGTTCAGACAGATATGATGCAATTATTTCGGAATGGCAGAATTTTACGGTATCCATTATTAAACAAAATCCCGGGAATCGGCTCTTTAGACATCACCATAAATTACACAGAAACGAAAAAAATAATTCTTCACTGCAGAAACTTATTCTATTATACTTGACAACTGTTGAGAGAGCCAAACTAGCAAGATGACTTATGTTTCTTCCCTTCTCCGAAGAATAAGTTATTGTTACGTTTAAATATTCGGATAAATATCTATAACGTCTATTCAAAACACAAATTCTGAATACACATTAATGATCGTACATAAGACACTCTTGTTTATTAATTAAACGTGGATCGAGAGTTGATACTAATTTTCTTCAGCATCTTTCGTGCTATGTTGTCTTCTTTCAGATATCTTCAAATCGAACTTCGATTTCTTCTTAATATTCCTGTATACTCGCCTTGATACTATCACTAGTTAAGGATTTTTCTGTCTCGACAATTTCATGCAATACAGAAAACATTTCTTTTCTGTTTATCCTTTTCATGCCACATTATTTTAAAAGATTGTATCAAACCTCATTTGCCGAGTCAAATAAAAGGATAAGATATAACCGGAAGAACAATAAATAGGGTTGAACTATCGATATATAATAGTGTTTGATGATTTTATCATCTCAATATTCTGACCAAACTATTTCATATAGAAAAAAACTTTTAAGTTTCAATAAGATTAAAATACACGAAACTAAAGATCCACCTAGGGTTCATAGTTATCTAGTTAGGCATAAGTAAAAGTACTGTTTATAAATATATTCGACAACTTGAGGAGAGTGGATGAGGATAATGACTAAAAAATATCAACGAGGATGATTTCATCAAATCACTTAGCAGAAAAAGTACTAACAGAACTCTACGCCATGCAAAATGAGATCGTAGAGGGAACCTTTCATTGACAATTAACCGGATCATATCGAAAACGTAAGCTCTTAATATACGAAAAAGTCAAAAGTTCGATTTACAGATAGCCTATATGAAAGCCTCAAACATCCGGAGAAAGACTGAAGAAAGTAGTCTCTTATGTGTTGACTGAAGAATAATAAATGAGAGAGTGTATTGCGCAAGTGCGTTGGCCAATATTCCAAATTCGGTATTACTATTTTTAGATGAAACAGGACACCTACTGACATGATAGATATTTATCTAAAGGTATAAATGAAACCATCATTGATCCCATCAAATAAACGGAGGAATATAAGTCTTTAGCTACTTTGGCTGTCATCGGAATTGTGAAACATAAGATTGTGAAAGGCTAGTACAACTCGGGATTATTTCTGTCCTTTCCATGCGAACACTATGACGATTTGGAGAACTGATTTCTGGGATTCCATTTAATAATGGACAACATAAAATTTCATCACTCTGACATAAATACATCATATTTGATAGAGCAGTCCATAAATTACAAGAACAGTACTTACCATCCTATTCACCGCAGCCTAATCCCATAGAGTATTGAGGAATGCTTCTCCGCATTCAAAAAACAGATGTAAGTTTAGATGTGACATTATTCTAACAACTGATGAGTTGCTTCTATCATCGATACAATTAATTCGGATATTGAATTCCATCGTTTTTACCTTCACATGAGAGTTGTGCTTTAGAGAGCATATAACACATTACCGTTAGTATAAATTCATCGAACATTAACTGCTGAAAACTCATTTCTTTAGCGTTTCTACTGTCAGAATAAGAAGTGTCGTTTTGTATAATCTATGCTGCTTACTTAAATTTACATAACGCGACAGAATAAAAAATATTAGTTATCTCGTGAGAAACATACTAATCTGTCCGTAATTAAGCGAAATCATTCCGTTAAATTGTGGGATTCGTTCTCTTTATTCTGTACAATGAACTGTACCTCCTGCCACGTCGTCTGTTGGAGATGGAACCTTCCGATCATTCGTGCAATCTGTTTGATCGTTTTTGCAGAAAGTTTACCCGTTCGTGCAATTTCTACATGGAACACTTCTCTAAAATTAATTTGCAAATAGTTACAAAATGTTTCTGTATTCGTCATATGCATGTGCTCATTGTAAAATTTCTTCGCTAAACACTGCAACAAATTTTAAAACACCAGCGCTTTCAAATCTAGCTTAGACCAGTTGATTTTTCCATTTTTATTTGTAGTGTCAACTGTGGTATGATAACACGCGCAGAGAAAAAAAAAGCATTGAAACTAAAATTGACAATCGAACTAAAATTAAAAGTAATATTGAAACCACGATAACAGTTTTTCTTTGTTTGATTAAAATGTTTTTTTTTTAATTTGTGAAATTCGTCGTATCTTCTCTGCATACTGTAGCGTGTTTTGTGAAAAGCTTTCCCTAAATCGCGCAAACTTTTCTTTTATTATTGCACGTCATACGCAAATTCGTGAATTTTTAATCGTCAGTCATGAAGTCTGTTTATCAATTCGTGAATTTTTGTGAGAATAATTTCAAATATCTTCTTATTTTTGAAATGTATATTTTATTTCTTGGAATCTTTTCGCTAAATGCTGCAACAGAATCTAATTATAAAATATTCGGGTATTTGCTAAATGGCTAAGTATCTTCAACGTTGGATTTTTTTTATACTTACTCAGAAGTAGAGCCCATATAGGAGTATCTATATTTGTTGCTTTACGTGCCATAGTCACAAATTCGTTATTCGGATCATCTAAAGAGCTTAATTTAGTTCCAAATGCTGTAGACGCTATTACATCGATAGCAAAACAATTTAGATAACTGAAAATATTTTTAGTCGAATAAGTAAATTTATTCGTCAGTAAATCGAAGAAAAGTAATCGTAATGTTTTAATTTGTCAACTGTCAATCCTAAATTATTTATTTGACTTATAATAAAAGCTATTATCGATGTACGATATTTTATTAAACATATGTGTTACAAGAAATATTTTTTATCAAACTACGGAAATGAAAATTTAATATTCATTATTATTTTACCTTTTACAATCGACAGATTGAGTTTTATTTTCATCGGCTATTTTCTTCAGATTTTCTGAGAACTTCTCTGCACATTCCTTTACTAAATAAGCCATCTGAAAAATTTCGAATGATGATTATCCAAACGAAATGTAAACAAAATTGCGCCAAGCAAAAACATATCACAATTTAGACGACAGTCAAAATTTTTCTTAGGAGTTTTTTATGGTAAAGATAAGCTTGGTACTTGGAAGCGGTACAAACAAGATCCACAAGACTTTTACCTGTATTATTATTGTCTACAAAACACTCTGAAGCGTCAAGCTTATCTTTACCATAAGAACCTCGTAAGAAAAATTTTGACTGTCGTCTAAATTGTGATAAGTTTTTGCTTGGCTCAAGTTTGTTTACATCTTAGATGTTTTTGTTTGGATATCAAATTTTTTCTTTTGCTTTATGAAGGCTTGAAAGTATATTTATTCTGAAAGGAATACGGATACTCTCATTTTAATATATTATTCACTAATTTAAAGAAATAGAAATGCTTAAATCTAGCAGCTTATTAAGAATAAGTATGTACAGATTTTTTGCACTGCGTGGGCATTTACTTTTTTCTACTACAGTATCATTGCATTCTATCCATTCGTTACTTTGAAGATAATAGCATAATGCTCACTTTGCAATTGACATCCACAGGCTTACTTGATGATAGAACATGAATGGAAGAACAAAACTTTTAAATTAAAATCTTAGAACAGATTTTTTAAAATTACAGATCAGATGCGGAAATTTATAATTAATTTTAAAATTTAATAATTTAAAAGTTTAATTAATTATAAATTTTAAAATTTATTATTAATTAATTTAATTAATTTATGCATGTCAAATAAGATGCATTGAATTAGGAGAGCTCAAATAGCACTCTCCAGGTTGACGAAATAGGAATTGTCTCCTTGGAATTAACTACGGACCCTCTCCCGAAGGCTTTGTAGATTTCTACCCTTTCCAGGTGTTTAGGCCAAGGCACTATTTTCTCTCAATGGGTTCTTTTTCTAAACACCGGAGTTCGATTGGGGGTTCGGGCCTCACTCGGACGAGCTGGCAGCGGGAGTTTTTTCCGGGTTTTCCTCCTTGCCAATGACGCCTGAATAGGGGCCAAATTCCCCCAAGTCCTCCCGGAAGGCATTCTGTCTCCCTTTCTCGCGGGGGTCGGATTGGTCGTCTTCTATAAGACCGACCCCTCCAAGTCCTCCCGGAAGGCATTCTGTCTCCCTTTCTCGCGGGGGTCGTCTCTTATAAGGCCGGTTTTGGTCACTTCGTGACCTCTCTCATGTCTTCTCAGATTGGTCGTCTTCGATAAGACCGCCTCTTCGGTCGCTGTGCGATCGGCCCCACTGTTTCTTCCGGAGTGAAAAACGACGAGCTGCAGCACTCCTCTATCAAAAAGGTTGAAGTGAAGTGAAGTGGGGTCTTTTTCATTTCTAAGAAGTGAGAAAATCATAGTGTTTCTTCTAAAAACAATTCTGTGTATATGAATGCCTTGTTGTATATGATTAGTACACCGTGTGACGGAACTGCCTTGGCTGAAACACCTGAAAAGGATAGAAATGTACAGAGTCTTCAAGAGAAGGACGGCAAATAGTTAATACATTTTATATGTTACTTTAGACCGATAATCATAAAATTTAACAAAATCGTTGTAAAGGTAATCGCCGTGAACTTTGATGTTAGAAAGAATAATGTAATGAAACGATGATGTCATCTATGTTTATGTCTAAATATACTTTAATTTGTCATTACGTTGCCACCTAACATGAAACAGCCCGATCGACCGAACGTTTTTGGTATGCCGTTTAGTAAAATCGTTATTGAAAGTTTTAATTCGCATAAATAAATTTGAGCTTTATCTATTCTGTATAACATTTTGAATAAAATTCATTTGTTTCCATGCAATTTTATGCTTAGCATAAAATTAAGCCATAAAACTGAAACAGTTCTAACTGGGAAAATTCCCGGAAACATTGACCTATCGACTCGGAAGTTTTACCAAAATCTCACTGTAAATGAGAAAGGCTTAAGTTTAAAATTTGAGCTTTCTAGACCCAGTAGTTTTTCTCTATGAGGCAATGCCAGGTGAAGAAAAGAAGAAAATACAGCTATTTTTTGCACTCTTCAATTGCTCATATCTCTGCAATCGCTTTATAGAAAATTTCGAACGAGATTTTGGAATTACTTCAGATGTTTGGGGGCAGAGAAATGACTCCGAAAATCGGCAACTTTGATTCCTGTTTATATAGTCAGTCAGTGAAATTTTTTACATAGCAGATATCAATCAATTCCCAAAAAAACAAATTTTTAATATTTCTAGCATTGAAATTAAGACCATAAAGATTCAGCTTTCCTTTAAAAATAAATATTAAGACATGTTTCCTAATAAACATTTGTATTAAAATAAGAATTTTACTTACTTTTCTTATTTTTCCGCTACTGAAAGTCGGACTCATTATGCATCGAATTCTCTTCCAATCGTCGTCTTCTAGTAAACTCAACATTTTGTCAAATAATTTATTTCCTGATTTAAATTTCTATAATAATTTTTTGAAATATTAAGTAAATATGCATAAAATAAAAATATAAATAAATTTCTTATTGCTTAGTATAGAATGCTAATAGTTAACTTATAAAAACATAGAAAACTAAAGAATTAGCTCTAAAAAATTCAAATTATGTTGCATTGTATGTAAAATAAATTTTTAACTGAAATTTTTTTTATCACTGTAACAACTCTTTATGTATTTGATTAAATTCGTTAAATTTAAGAAGTGTTTGCAGTTTAATAACAGAAATTAAGTCGATTTAATCTATCTCTATATGATTAATTGCAATTACAACATTACAATTACAACATTAGTAATTGTGACATAGTAAACATTAGTAATAATTGTGATGTTAACTCCATTGCTATTGCAGTGGAGTAAACTCTTTGAAAAGAGTTTACTCCACTACACGTAGTCTTATAGGAGTTTATATGGCGAATGTATTAACGAGATCAAAATTTATATTAATATGAAGAAGAAAGGAAAACTTAATTCTATTATTAAACTGTATGTAAATAATGAAATAGCCAATCATTTCTCTGTTGAACGATTAACTGAAATCACAGGTCAAAATGTTTTCAATCAGTTTCTGGTAGATCTCATACTTTTAATCAGTTTCTGGTAGGTCTCAACAGGAATTAAATCACCATTCGTCCTGCAAAGCTGCTGCAAGGAGATAAGAGCGAAACAGTCATTACGGTCGATTTCAAATTCGTCGCTCTAATTCATCTTAGAGGTGTTCTATTGGTTACGATCCGGATTCTGTGAATACCAGTCCAACAATTCCATCTCATTTTCAAGAAACCAGTTTTCGCACATTCCATGAAGTGTAGCACAACTCAGTGGTATAGGCATGAGTTTTGGCTCGAATACTTTTGATAATATACTGTATATGTAAATTGAGAAAAATAAGAATTTCAATAACGAAATCTCCCCAGAACAAGTAGAAGAAAGAACACTTCGAGCAAGAAGCGGGCAGAATGAATAACGGATGGCTTTGATTGTCATTACCGTTAACACAAATCCTCGTGTTTCTTTGTAATAAGAAAAAAATTTCATGTCAGCTGTAAAAGGAGCGTCCAATAAAGTCTACTCCCCCATTGATTTATTAATAAACTAATTACAAAAGATGGTCAAATTAGAAGTCTCTGTCGAACTTTGCATCAGTTATTCGTATCAAACAGGTATTTATGCTCTTACGGGAGACTTCACGTGCTCCGAAACCCATCTACCACCTTAGTTTGTTATACAAATTTTAAGCAAATTTTCCCGAAAGATATTGATTAGATAAACATATTTTAACCTAAATTTTTCAAATAAAAATATGTATTAATAAGAATCGTATAATGTAAATTTTTATTTAAATACGGAAACAAAATACAGTATATAGCCTAATTAATTACAGTAAGAATATAAAATTATCGAGAAGTGTCGAAATTGAAAATATTTTGTGACGAAATTTCGACGTTGTCTATGATTTTATGAAAAAAAATTATTAAATAGATATTTTAGAAATTAGATAATTTATGAAAGATTTCAAACGAGTTTGATATATTGTTACTTAATTAACTATACTTTATTAATTAATGATTTGATTGAATAATAAATAAATACAATTAATAGATCAAAAAGTTTTTGCAACTTAACAGACGTAACAACTTCAGTAGAAGTTGTATATATAAAATACACGCGAGCACAAAGATAACTCATTACTTCGTACTTCATACTTACCATTCTGTTATGAAACATATTAAAATCTTTAACTAAAATTCTTTTCAGAATATCAGGATCCGCAATAGAAATTTGAGGTTTAAATCCCATATACGTACTAAAAAGCGAAAGAAAATTAAACTATATTTTATTCAAAATAATAATACTAATAATGCTTGAAAAAGCAAAGATTTTTAACATTATTTTTACTTTATTATTTACTTTATTATTATTACATTATTTTTAAAAGATAGAAATCATTTTATTATTGAATTTGTTAAAGTTATTTCATTTCCCACCTATACAATTACTTAACTGGTGTAAAATTTGGCAATTGCAATTTTCAAAGTTCAATTTGAATAAATAAAAAAATTCACAAATTTTCATCTAACTATAATCACTTAAATTGTGTTGTTATTTAGCCAAGTTGTATTATTTATTTTATAAAAAAAAAAACTAGAGCATATGAAGATCCCATACATTCAAATATGAATATTGAGCAAAATTTAACTATGAAATAGAATACTTTACTTTTCCATTATTATTTTATTTTATTTAATAGCACAAGCCTGTATGTATAGACATATTACAACAAATAAAGACATTACAATCATCAATATTATTTCCAGTATACATCATTATTTTGATAAATCTATTAATAAAATAATCATATTCCGGAATGGAGGACAACATTTTAGAAATGGAAACTGGTTTATACAAAACTTTAAAACTGAAGTTGTTGACGAGTACGATTTTGGTATATTTTTTCCAGTCCAATGTATAGTACTTGGTTGTTATATTAGTACTTGTTTGTTTTGTTTATTATTGTTATTAATGTTGTGTTGCTTCTTTCTTTTTAATAGGGTTATTATTACGCGCTGTACTGTTAGTAAAGTGTTCTATTTAGAAGAAATTGTTATAATTTTCTTTTATGATAGATAAAATATTACAAATTTTACTTAATCGTTAAGAATTCGCCATAAAAAAATTAATCAATGGCTCTTTCAAACAATATTAATTAAAAATTGAGATGCGTTTAATGCTACATTGTTTGAAATTTTTGGTAAAGGACTACACATATAAGTTAGTAATTGGAAAAATAAACTTAAACAAAGCATAGACAACAAAAAAAAATTATCATTACTGTTTAAAATAATCCAAACAACCGAATAAACCTCATTTGAAGTTTATCTTTTTTCGTACTTTTTTAAACTTTGACCAAATACTAATATATTATGTTTATGCTTCTAACACAATATAGTGCTATAAATTAAGACACTTGGCGGATTTTCTCATCTTTATTTAGTTGATACGTGTGGAAAAAATTACACGTTTCGAGCTCTTAAGCCCCTCTTCAGTCAACTAAAACATTTAAAAAGGATATAACATACACATAAAAAGGAATACACAAGTTNGAAAACCTGACATGGTAAATTATTATTGAAATGCGAGATTTCCCGGGAAAATTAAATTTCCCGGGATTTTTCTCGTAGGGAATAAACGGCGAGAATCCCGGGAACGGGATCCCGGGAAAGAAACCCTAATCACCGCTGAATGATTAAGCTTTGGCACTCAAAATTTTACTTAAAGATTTACATAAAAAAACAGTCACATTTATAATTAGTTGGTGTTTCTAAACCTCTGAACTTTTTCTCTGACCAATTCTTTTAATTTTTTCTGCGATTTCCTCTCTCTAACGCCTCTAGTTTGTTATTTTCAGGAATAGCTATTAGAATTTGTGAATTTTTAAAATTATTTCTACCATTTTGTATTGTTTGAAATACAGGAAAGAGATAAAATATCATCTAAAGGCACTGATTGTTGAACTTAGCTTACATGAGCCTTTATCGCCATATTGGATTCTAATGCTTTTTTATTGGCTTAACAGCATATTATAAATTAAACGAAAAGCAAGAATGGAAGGATAAATATATATAGTTTATACACATAATGATCTGATGGCAACCAGAACATGATTGTAGACTTACGATGACATTTGTTATTTGACCACAATAATCACACTTTCACAATTATATTTTGTTTCTAGATACCTATGCGAGCGTGATTGCCCAACTTTCTTCTATAAAATAATAATTTAAATTTAAAAATTATATTTTATATGGTAATACGTTTTAACCACTTGATGTCCAAATTTTTTTTAGGAATTTTTAATTAAACATAAAAAATACTTAAAACTGAAAAAAAACGAAAGAAATGCGTTAATTTTGAAGAAAAAGCTTCAAACTTTATTTTCCATTGTCTTGCCTTTCTGTGAAAATTGACACTGATGATTCATTGTTTACACAGCTGGATGACCTTGAGAACATCTGGTGTTGGATTTCCCAGGTCATTCTCATAGATGTCTCGGGAGGACAAGGGTTTAAAGTAGGGTGAATACTTGCTGGCGGTATATTTTTAAATATTTTTAAAAAATTAACATTTTTATTGCGATTTCCGTCCCCTCGATTTAATTAATATATAATATATATATATTAATTAAAATATTAAAAAAACTATNCAATTCAATATAAATGGAAAAAAAATATTATATGGAATTGAACGAAAATGAAAATTTGCTTGATAATTCAACTACGCTTGTTGGAGAACAATAAAAACACTACACTCAACAAGCCACCAATAAAACTCAACTGCCTAACCTATAACCAAAGTCTCCTTTTAATTTGTTTTAAAAAAAAAGCGCTTGACAAACTTGCCCCGCACGCCGAAGTTACCCCGGTCTCCCCTATATATATGGGTTACAATATCTATTTTTAACAAAATACATTTTTTAGTGCAATGATGATTAAACATTGCCATTTGGACTCGAGTAAACTCGGGAAGATTACATAGCGTTACATAAAACTCGGGCCGAAAGGACCGAGTTTTCTGTAACGCTATGTTTAAACGTATCAATATATTAATAACAATATTTGTTATGTTGTTTGCAAAGAGTTCTGTACATAACACACATTTCTTTAATAATAACAAAAAAATTAATACTGAAACTTTATTAGTCAGGAAGAGACAATATAGACTATATAGTGGCAACTACAGCTGACAAGCGCTAGAGAGCGCTGGCAAAAACTGTTGCCAATCAAAAATTCCATGAAAATGAGTCTAAAAATAACAAAAATTTTCAACTTTACAAGTCAACAAGAGTAATTACTAAGTAATTAGATCGAAGTATGGTATTTGTTTTTTAATCGTGAGCAATAAAAAAACCGATATTGTTAAAAATCTGTATGATTACGGGGATATTGGACGCGTTGCCTGGTAAAGCGACTGGATAATATGCTTTTTATCTGAAATGACATAGTCCATTTCAGATAAAAAGCATATTATCAAAATATGTGTAGAGTAGTTGTATAAACCAGTTTCAACTTTAGGAGATAACACTATTGACTTTTTAAATATTATCTTATTGAAATAAGATTATACTCGTATGAGAGTATTGAAGTAAAACAATATAAAATTTAACAACTAAAAAATTATAGGAAACTTTAATTGTTACTTATTATAGTAAAATTTGCTTGAATGGCATTTATAATTATATAAACTATTAATTTTAACACAAAGTACAATTTTTGTAATACCAACTTTTTTCATATTAATCGTGTCTAGAATTCTTGTCCATTCTTAATTAATACAGTACGTTGTGCTGTAGCAGTGTCACAAAATATATTTCAATCTATGCTACTTCATAACAGAACCTAATTTCTCTTTACGAATGCTGTATTGGCTCAAGATTAGAGTTGCTTTAATATTTTATTCCTCTGTACAATCGATGAACCGTTTCAGAAGGTGTCAGGTGATGACTACCAAAAGAGAACGTAGAATTTTTTGGTCTATAAAAAAAAATTATTATGAACAATTTGTGTATTTACATTTTAGTTTTCATTTATTATTTTTAAAAATTTAACCTGTTCTAGCCTATTATTATATGAAAGATTAAAACTACTATGGGATTCGTTTTTTCAGCTTTAAATACTGGAAATCAGACGTCTGACAGAAATTTTATCATCACACTTTTTGAAACTCAATTTCAATTTTTTTGACTTGGATCCTAAATTGTCCTATAATTGTTTCGAAGACACAAGGCATTTTATTTGTACTATAAAATTTCAGATTAATAAAACTTTTTTCGCAATTGTAAACATTTTTTCCTTAGGAGAGTACGATTATTCAAATTTCCCTTAGTCTTGCTTCCAGCATAATCCATAGCACGAATCGATAGAGGAAAGAAGATAAGACGATTCCAAGGTAATTTATACTGTTTAACTTTTATTAAGTAACAGTAAAGTTGAAATTCATAATAAAAATAGCATCCTTTAAATACTGTATATAAAAATATTAATTTTCATTTTCAGTAATTTTGACATAGAACTTTCTACTGGCTACACATCGGATGAAAGTAATCCATACTGCACCAGTTTTCACAAAAATGTGTAAATAATCGTTACATGTGGTGATAATATTAATTATTACATCATTTAGACATTACAATTATTGCATATTTGTTCTACCTGTATATATATATATATATATTTAAAAAATTTTTCACATTATACAATTGTTTAATTTGATGTTTAAGTATTAATATATAAAGTTCTGCAAATGATACGACTTGGGCGACTAGTCTTTTAAATTTCACCAGCTGTTTCCTAAATCGCACTCGTATTTGAAGCATATCTCTATGTATTCCAAAAGAGTTAACTAATGCTTCGACTATTGTTAAGAGTAAATAAATTATTTGTACCACTTTTATTTAATGAAAACATTTTAAACTACAAAACAATAAAAATAAAAATTATATATTTGAAGNGTCTTACTTTTAAACTATTTTTAAAAAATAAATCTAATGATGTAATGTTCGCATAAATTATTAAGTTAACTCACCCATAAACACGGCCATATTTTTCGTATTGTTCTGTTACCAGTAAATGCACGGGCTGTAAGAACAAAAGAAAAATTTGAAATTTAATAACTATTTATATAATCGTATTGTATCCATCGTATTTATCCTTTGTAAGTACAGTAAGACCCCGCTTAACGCGGGAGATGCGTTCCTAGACAACAACGAAACAACGTTAAACGAGGTCATTTTAACACAGAGTAAACAGAAATAAGGGAACAAGCGACCAAAACTAAACAGATTTTATTTTAAGTTATTTTTATATTGATTTGAATACAGTCGACCCCCCTATAACACGGTTGATAATTCCGTTTTATTTGAATGCCGTGTTGTACGAGTCAAATGCCTTCTGTTCAAAATTCCCGGATATGTGAATTTTGATAACTCAACTTCTTTAAAAATTATCTTAATGCATACATATTAAAGAATTATCACAACTGGAAATCTAGGGTAAAAAGTCTAATGAATATGATGAACATTTCAATCATGGACATTTCAGAAAGGTAGTATTTTATTCATCGCTAATAAGAACAGAATTTTATTAAAATTATCAATATTTCATTGCCTCTTTTTGTTTTGTTATTAACAAAGTGATATAACTTATTCTTTAACTGAAATTCTTGTTAGTTTTCACACTGTTATATTTTATTTCCTTTTAACTGGTCAAGAAATTTTGTGCATAAATATACTGAATGTACTGTACATATAATACTATCTCACCTTATATCTAATGTTATATATTCCTTTAATGACACTCCAAATTCCATCCACTGGTGTCTGAATTCCTTGATTTGTCCAATAATGTAACTTTCTTTTTATATATCTAAATAAATGTTAAAAAGATTTAAAATGTACGTAGATTTAAAATTATAAAAAACAAAAACTTTTGTTATTAAAATATATAATAAAAGATATCAACTCTATTAAATGATTGCTAAGTCTAAATCTAATTTAATCATGTCTATCTTGCCGACACACGTCATGCAAATCATTATTTGCATGGTTATAAAAGAAATTTTTCTTACTGCGAAAAAATTTAAATATTCTCTTGACAAGCATAGGCTATATTTTTAATAAGATAGGAAGAGATTTTACAAATAGCGAAATCACAAATAGTACAGTATATAATTGTAAAATTAATTGTAAACTATAATTCTAAACAATTAAAATTTAGAAAAAAGTATTCGAGCAAAAACACTCTAACAGCACTGACTTCGAAGGATATACTCTATGACAGTTAACTATTTTTAAAAAATGCTTATTTTACTTTTTCTCCTTTAGGCCAAATGCATTTCGCATCAACGGGTTACATCAGTGTTTTTATAGTTGACAAAGTTATCCCAACAAATATCAACATTCTCATATTCAAATTTGTTATTTTACATATTTTTTAACGCTGTAATTTTCTTTTACGCGACGTTTAACAATATTGTTTTCTTCATACAGGATTTTCGTATTATTTTTTATTAATTTTACAATTAAAAAATACTGTATCGTTGATAACATGGAGATTCTTTGCGTTTTAGACGTATAGCCATTTCGTGTTCTTTAAGTCTCTTCTCTAGTTTACGCTTGGTTTCTCCTATATAACATTTAGTTTGAGGACACATGCATGACAGTTTGTATACAACCCCTGCGATATTTAGTTGCTAATCTTATTCCTTCTCTTCTTTATTAAGAATAAAATTTATTACGTTAGATAACCTTTTTTTTATTTTGAGTGGCTATAATATGAACAGAAACACCATTAAATTGACTTTTGTATTTTTCATATAAACAGTTTATATATGGGAAAGGAACATACCGACATTTTGTTTTTTTTTCAATTTTTACTTTATATCTTTTAATCATAAGATTATCGCACCATTTAAAGTTTTTTCGGATATCCATTAAATAAATATTTTCGAAATAATTGTTTTTTTTCTAATATTCTGTAAGTACGAAAAGTCATTCAATGTTTAGAAAACAATTAATTTCAAACCTTATTGTCCTACAGATATAAATAGAAATATTAACAAGAACTTCACCGTCTGAAGATATTATATTAGAAGAAAAACAATATTTATAAATTAACCATTTAAACACTGAAGTAATGCTGTATAAGTATCAGTCATAAAATGGTTACAATAAGCGAATCATATTGTATATATTTTGTTTATTAAACTTTAATAGATAGATATATTCCCAGTGTTTAAAATGTCCATACGTAACTTTATTGGTTCCGTGGAAATAATAAAAAAGTTAAATCTGACCCATTTTAAAATTTTATTAAGTTAATATGCTGAATAAAATTACTACGGAAGTGTATTGTCGATATAAAATTGTTCAATCGCTTTTAGTGACGAAAGGGAACAGATTGAAGAAAAAAAAATACTACTCTATAATATTCTATTTTTCTTTTTTCTGCAATAATCAAGGGTGTTTCCATTACTCTAAATGAGCAATTGTCAATTAAATAATATTTTCAAAGCAATAAAAATACTAATAATGAATAACTTTTAAAATAATTTTTTAAACCCATAATCTAATCGTACTTAACCCGAACTAAAAATAGCCATGTAATTAACGTCATATTATATTATTAAATTCAGTAAGAGTAAAATTTTATTTAAAAAAAAATAATAATAATAACAGACAAAATCATATATTAAATCTGAAATTGCTATGATGTGACAAACTTTTCAAGCATATTATTAATTTTTTTATATTATTTTTTTCATTCATCGGAAGGCATTCTGT